ACCGGTCTCCAGTCAGCACCGCTGCAGACTCGCTGTTTGAGGGTTTGATAGCCCACTCCCCCTCCACACCGCTCCACACTTGTTGGTTTGGAACAGCACTTAATGTGGCGGACCCTCAGCGCGAACGCGCAAACGGAGGGGTAGTGTGTAGGGGTAGGGTGTAGGGCGTGGTTTGGGATTGGGCCTTATGTCGCGTTTCCACTACACGGCCTCGCTCGGCCCCGCTCGGTATGGCTGGGCCTCGTTAGGACTGGCTCACTTTATGGCGCATTTCCATTACAGTTTAGGAACTGGGGCAGTATCTATAGTAACGCAGTGTAGGCGGAGCCGTGACGTGATCTTCAGAGGACCCCAGAAAAACAACACAGCCGTTAGCTGTTAGCACTCAGAGCTCACAGCTCCTCATATCTGTTCAGAAACTAGACAAAAGTTAAACAAGTACAAACCACAGACTGTCTGTGTCATGGTGAATGCAGTCGCTGCTTTATTTATGTCTGTATAGGCCGTTGTTGTGAGTGTGGACGGTCGGGGCATATACTGCGTTAGCTTAGCCAATCTCCATTTAGAAAACAAGCATTTTAAAAGGTTTTTCCCCTGCCGTCTGTCTGCAGACTTGACAAAGCATTAATTCATGGTTTTTACTAACCGGTATCAGTATGTTGTTACTTCGGCATCATTTTGAAACGTGTATTACAATTAAATCACGGTCAAATATGTCCATCTTGTTGTAGTTGTTGCCCCCTTGCCAGCGACGCTCTCTCTAGTTTAGCATACTCAGCCCGACTCAGCCTCGTTGCCTCTGGCCCTGGCCCCACGATTTTATGAGGCCAGAAAAACTGTGAATTAGGACCCGCCGGCCGGTACTAGGCCAAGTGGAAACGCAACCAAAGACGGGCCGCTGACGTCACAGCCCTCTTAAACCGGGCTGCGGGCTGTAGTGGAAACGCGCCATTAGTATGTTTGCTTAAGTACTCTAATGGCGCATTTCCACTACACGGTCGGCCTCGGCCACACTCGGTACGGCTCGGTACGGCTTGGCCGCGTTGGGCCTTAACAGGGCCGACTCACTTCATGCTGCGCTTCCATTACAGTTTAGGAACTGGGGTAGTTACTATAGTAACGCAGTGTAGGCGGAGCCGTGACGTCATCTTCAATGAGAAATCCAGAAACACAACACAGCCGTTAGCTGTTAGCACTCAGAGCTCACAGCTCCTTATATATGTTCAGAAACTCGACAAAAGTTAAACAAGTACAAACCACAGACTGCCTGTGTCATGGTGAATACAGTCGCTGCTTTATTTATGTCTGTATAGGCCGTTGTTGTGAGTGTGGACGGTCAAAGCATATACTGCGTTAGCTTAGCCAATCTCCATCTAGAAAAACACGCATTTTAAAAGGTTTTTTGCCTGCCGTCTGTCTGCAGACTTGACAAAGCATTAATTCATGGTTTTTACTAACCGGTATCAGTATGTTGTTACTTCGGCATCATTTTGAAACGTGTATTACAATTAAATCACGGTCAAATATGTCCATCTTGTTGTAGTTCTAGCCCTCTTGCCAGCGCTCCTCTCTCTAGTTTAGCATACTCAGCCCGACTCAGCCCTGTTTGTTGGCCCCGATAGAACCACAATTTTCTAGGGCCAGAAAAGAGGTGAAAAAGTGGCCCCGCGCTGTGCCGCGCCGAGACTAGGCCTAGTGGAAGCACAACCAAAAAAGGGGACGGCACGACACGGCACGCTTAAAGCGAGCTCCGCGCTGCAGTGGAACTGCGCCATAAGCCAGCAGCTCAATGGTGTTTTTAATGAAGCACTAGCTCCAAATGTAGCTAAATCTAACAAGAAAGTCACCAAGTTATCAACACCGAAACCCCTTCCCTTCAGGCCTCCCCCGAAAGCCCCATCCTCAAAATGATCAATATGAAGGTATCCAACAAAGCTGGCTGCTGCTAGTACTTTCCTGACTCATCAATGCATTCAGCCAATACTGCCACAACAGTAGTAACTCTAGCGCACGCACGCACGCACGCGCACACACACACACACACACACACACACACACACACACACACACACACACACACACACACACACACACACACACACACACACACACACACACACACACACACACACACACACACAGGAAAAGTCCACCTGGACCTGGTCGTGGCAATTAGTTTATTTAATCACAGCGCTCACATTAGTCCTGTATTTACCTGTGATATTTAAAATCCTGATAAAGAAAACTCTCACAGCCTTTGTTGGGTTAACAGTCCATAATCTTTATCATCTAGTTCATAAATCACATGGATCAAAGTGACTGTTGTCCCTCTTCACTGGTATCCCCTGTCCCCTTTTCATAATTTCAACCCTATTCTAAGGGGAAGCATTTACGCAATGTGGTGCCTTTTCATTTCAGTTTCTTTCTTTGTATTTCTTCACCCCTTTCTCGTTTCATATTTTAGGAGAGTGCATGTACGTAGACACGTTGTGCCTCTCTTCCTCTGTTTCTTACTTTTCTCTTCATACCCGTTTCTCAGACCTATTCTAAGGGAGCTGACACGTTGTGCCTCTTCACTTTTACTTTCTAAGGGTCAAAGTTCATATGGCGAGGGATTCCTTTGAGCGATATGCGCCGGCCCGTGCCTTACCTTGGACTTCTAATAGAACTGCTCGGGTCTTGATAGATTGAGTGGGGAAGTTCAGGAGATATATGCCATATTTTCAGTGAAGTGAAAATGGATCTTTCTGTCATCAATAAAGAAAATAAGTGGAAAATGTACTCCCAGTATCTAACCAAGGTTAAAACAGTGTGAGTTTACAGCACCTTACATCAATCATACTCTACAGAGTGGTGCAAAACTCTGTCAGCTCTTTTGTGTCCTGGATGTGTAAATGAGCAAAAATCTGCTGCCACCAAGTGGGAAAAACTCAGTAATGCAGCTTTAAAATGCTCCTTTTAGCTCTTATGTTAAAAGAAACTCTGAAAATCACAATATACGTTGGTGATTTCCTGTAGTAAGCTAATGCCCTATACAGGAAGAGGTAAGCACCAGGTAAGCACACATCATGACAACGTCATAGCTGCTGCAGTTGAAGCTAACAGTCAGCATGTGGCTCTGATTGTCCATGTCGTCTTTGGTATAACGTGGAGTCGATGCCTCTAGCCTCCAACGGACACCCAGACAGAGCCATAGAAGCAGTTCTGACTGCAGAATCCAGTTTCCAGAAACATCCCTGGTCACATGTTGGGTGTCTTTATGGCTGAGCTGGTCGGTTGAGCAGTTGCAGAGCTGTTGACTGTGTTGCTGTACTGAGTCCCACCGCTAGAGGGAGACACACATCACATTACATTAGAAATCTTTACAGACCTATTCTAAGTACAATACAGTAAGGGGGGTGGGGGAGGTTTCCACAGCTTGAATAATTTAATACAACCAATAAAGTAATAACATTTCCTGAGTTATATTGTAATTTAAAAAAATCCGATAATATATAAAAATGTATATATAAAAAACAAAATACATTGGCTATCAGGAGGAACTAATTATCATACAAAATAATACAATTAAAATAATAATTAATTATTATATTTAATAAAATCATAAATCATTATGTTAATTATTCATCATTATAAATGTTATTATAACTTAATTTACAAAAGAACACTTCAATGGGGGCATCACCTAGTATACAAGGACAATTACAGCCAGTTAATGTCGTCTCATAAAATAATTTCATGGAGTATACTACACTATCAATAAGTAAATCTGATTTATAGTATAACTGATAACAATATAATAACTACAACATGGCTATATCTAGTACTGTTTGAAGGATTTGGGAACATCTTGTAGGTTGGCAGAGCTCTTGGTTCCAACTCTGGTCCAACATTAAACAAACCAGCATGTATTTTCCAAAAAGCTGATTTTAATTGTTGTCCTCTGCAGACACAGGAAGTGGTGAGGGGTCTTTGCACAAACAAAGGACATTGTGATGTTAAGACTGAATGCTCATAGAGCTTCTTCTGCTGCCCCCAAGTAGAAGAAACCAACAGAAAGAAATCACTTGATGTAACAAAGTGTTGTTTACTGCAGCCACAGTGGACAGACGTTTGCTAGTATACTTATGTAGAAATGTGAGGTACTTTTACCTTACCTGAGTATTCTTTATAATGCTAATATTCCTACTCAACTAGAATTTGGAAGCCAATATTGTACTTGAAGCCAATATTGTACTTTGTACTCCACTCTGACAGCTTTAGCTTGAATTATTTTTCAGATTATTAGCTAAAACTAAATACAAATCAACTACTAAATAAACATTGTTATATAATTAAGCAATAGCTCACGACAGGCTGTGGTATATGCTCAGTATATCACAGCTAAGGTGATTATTTTTTTACCGCACACATTGAATAGAAAAATACTCTGAGCATGCGCAGTGTAGTTTTTACGACTCAATCGGCACAGTGTATACACTAATTAGAAGAACACAGACTAAAACAGCAATGTACAGACGAATCAGATGATTAAACATGATCTTAAAATATATTTTAAGATGTATTTTTTTTGCATTTATTTGCATTTTCTTTGAATTATTATTTGAATTACTTTCTGCTGACACTAGGTGGGGCTGTGCCTGCCCCTAATGACCAGTCGCCACTGAGTATATATGGTTATTGCCAATACTTTGGTACTTTTATTAAAGTAAGAATTTGAATGCAGGGCTTATTTACTGCTTTTACTGAAGTAAACGATCTAAGTACTTCTTCCACCTCTTTAGGGTCCTGTATTAAAGATCAGATTACTTCCAGCATTAAGGACTATGATGCTGCGTGCCTGCGTTACCCTCCCCAGGATCCCCCCCTGCTGTGTCCCTGCTGACCCCCCCCTCCCTCCGTTGCGTCATCCGGGGCAAAGCCAATATTACAAGCTGGACTGCAGCCAGAGGAACCGGACCGAGAGGATGAGCTCAGCCGGGGAGAGCTGCACACCTCCCCGCTCTGCGCGCTGCAACCCGGCCGTACTGAGAGTTCTGCCTAAAGACTGAGAACACAACCTGAGGAAACGTATCGTCGGTTTACTAGTTGCATTCTACATGTGCATGGAATAACCATACCTGAATAAGGAATCGGACACCAGGGATTATAACAATTTGGGATCAAGCGTCTCCAGGCGGAGCGGAGAGAGTGCACGGACAGCAGGACGCCTGACCCCCCCTCACCTCCGCGGGTACAGGCTGAGGAGCTCCGCCACTTTGGAGAAGATCCACCCTGAGCTGTGGAGAAGATGCAGCGGGGGACAGGGTCCTGTCTCCGGCTCCTGACCCTCACCCTGCTGTGGGTGTCAGTTCGCGGGTTCCCCACAACCTCCAGAGACAGAAACAGCTCAGCATCCGCTCCTCAGGTAAACTAGCCCCCCCCATGCTGTACAGATTATTATGGTGCTTGACTTGTAATGTATTGAATGTTCACACAGTGAAAATGCACACAGTGAAAATGCAGTAAATGACAGTAAAGCAAGAATTGTGTAAACTGACATTCTTATCTTTGTCTACTTAAAACAATAATAATGATATTATTCTATTGAGATTTAACATTGACATCATGTTTTACTAATATAGATTTCAGTTTATAATTAGGTTTACGTTTATTTTGTGACTTGTCCTTCTCCACATCCAAGTAAATAAGAAGACTTAACCCTAAAACTTTGATACTTTATAATTATTCAAACATAGCAAATAGAAATTCAAGTCCTCCCAATGTCATTGGTTCATTTAACTGTTCATACAACATTTACAATTGATGAAGATGTAGTCTCACAGGGCAGTTAAGCACCAGCTGTAGTTGAAATATTATCATTGGATAATCAACATTAGTTTATTCTTGATGTTGAAAACATATCTATTTTCGTCCCAAAATGTATGTTCAATTATTACTTTAGTACTTTTCCCAGGAATAGTTCCGATAGTTCCTGGGATTTTGCGTTCACACAAAAAAGATCTGGAACTAGAACTTTTTGCGAACCTTTTCACCCCTTTTTAGTCCCTGCTAGAGAGCAGGGACTTTCCTGGGGAGAAAAAGGTTCCAATTTCTGATTGGCTGGGCGAATTGCAAACCACGCCCCGTAAAACTCTGAAAAGTTTTTGTGAAGCCGCCATTTTATTTGCTTTATTAGCATTATTAGCATTAGCATTAGCCCAGCGCACCAACAGAGAGAGACTAAGACCCTGTTTACATGGAGACGGTTCGTGTTGTATCCGCTACTTTTCTCTTTCGTATAGCCCGTTCGTTCACACAAGGCCGTAACGGAACCGCGGAAACAGACCCCTCAAACGGGTCCCAAGGTGGGTAGATCTGCGGACGGAACGCTCTGGGGGGCCTAACGGCTCCGTGTGTACATCCTATACGATCATTTCCTGATAACGATGAAGCCATAGCCCCACCTCTCCCCACCTCTGCTGCTCACTGCTGTAGCATGGTCAGTAGCTACTGTCAGTACTACAGTGCTACTGCTACTGACCATGCTACAGATGTTAGTGCAAAATCTACTGCTCCTCTACCACAACCATCAGCAACAAGTGGACATGGAGAACTACATGAACTACATGTTGCTAAATCCACCGCGGAGCGTAACCAGAAGGGCAACCATGGCAACCATGCTCAGGGGTCTTCTTCGCTGCTTTTGGTGTATTTTGTGGCGGAAGTACAGCGCCACTTACAGGCCCGGCATATGTACTACAGCGTCTCCAGCGGGTCGAGCGGTCTCGTGTGAACGGACAAGTCGTGTGAACGGACAAGTTTCTTTCACCAAAGTACTTGGTGTGAAAGCGGCTAATAACACATTCACAATAGTAGAAACTTGTCATTCTTGCAAGTTTACCATTTTAATTCACTGCTGTACCAGGTTTATGAACTGTAAATATCAAATGGCAGACAGACACAGTTAGAGTCTCACTGGTGAACAGCAGGTGGTGGAGACCAAAAATAGAGCTAAAATGAGAATTTTGTTGACTTAAAGGTGGGGTATGTAATTTTGGACAAACCAGCTTGAGTGCGCTAGAATTTGAAAATACACTACCGGAAAAAATCTGCCTCTTCCTTACAGAGCCCCTCCTCCAACACACACGAACGCGCACATGACCAATGAGGGCACGAGATAAGTTTGTGCACTGATGGAAGGCTGACAGGCAGGTAGGCCATCCAGTTATTTTAGCCGCGTCGGCTAAAATGATTGGTCGTGCTTTTTACAGCGCCACGGCTTCCACAGATTATTTTTTTTAATGTATTTATTGTCAAAGCATTTAATATATTCATTGCTATCGGGATGTTAAGAGCATTCCATGGAATATAACAAAAAGCGTTTCTGAAATAAATTACATACCCCACCTTTAATGTAAATTGGCTGGTAGTTAGAAAAAGGTATCAGGAATAAAACAGGAATTCTATTGTCTTGGGCTCGATGTGTAAATGACAGCTATATCATCTTAACAAGGCCACCAGGTGTCTTTAGTTTGTTTTGGAGTGCACATAAAAATTGATCAATCAGGTCTGCCTAAATCTTGGAGTTGATGATAGGAGATATCAGTTGTATTCTGCTGACTTGACAAGAGAAAGTTAGTGGAATTAATGCCCACTTTCTCCCAAATATTTGAAGCCAAATGTTTTCCTTTAATCTTAACCAACATTGTTTGTATTCTGCTCAAGTTGCCAGCAAATATTGTTCCAACAGGTCTATTCAACTTTCAACCACGAGAGGGAAAGAACACTCAATCTTCAGATCCAAAGTCAGACGCCTTGTCCATTAGGCCACATGGTCACAAAGAGGAAGAGATAGGATGAAGGGTAGAATGCTGACCTAAATGAAAGTTAGTGCTCACCTTCTGAACCACATGCTGCAGACACATTGACTCTATAGGTTACTGCCACCGGCCAGTATTGGAATGGAACCCATGGCATTGGCCTTATTAGCACCACGCTCTAACTATCAGAGCTAACCGGCCTTTACTGAAAAAACATTGACTTGAATTAAATGTATTATGTCAACACATTTCACATAACTGTATTAGGTTAGTTGAAAGCAAAAATATTTAGTTTAAAATACTAGGTTCAACTTAATATTATTGCTTTCTACTAACCTAATACAGTTATGTGAAATGTGTTGACATAATACATTTCATTCAAGTCAACGTTCCAGTTTTTCGGTGTGTTTTTGTTGACTATCTTAAGCAAAAAAAGGAAAAGGACTTGAAATTGCCTTCAAAGTTTGGCCAGTTTGGGATGGTTGATCAGGTTTGATCAGATACAAGCTTGGATTTTGGTGGAAGAGTGATAGCTTGAAGATTAGACTGCTGACTTCAAATGTGAAAGTTTGAAATGAATGCCCACCTCAAACATATTTGGAGTAAAAATCCTTTCTATTTGCCATTGTTTGTATCATGCTCAAGTTGATGGTAAACTTTGTTCTTCCGTGAGTCAGGCAGGAGCGTTCAACCACGAAGGGAATCGAACTTTGCTCAACTTTTGTGAACATACACTGCAGCTCAGACACATTGATTTAATATGTTACTGATACCGGCCACTATGGGGTTTAAACACATGCACTTTGTCCTTGGTTCAGCTAACTGAAAACTACAAGTGATCCGACTCATGAAGATAACTGAGATAGTATTGAATAAACAACGCATTGACACCTCCTAGCCTATTAAGTATTAATGCAGCTGACTGACAAGAACCTCACTGAAGTCACTTTTCTTGAGATATATGCAGCGAAGTAAACCATGAACTCATTCATCATCAAATGTTTGAGAGGAATAATCTATGTTGAATGGTCGGGTTTAGTTTTTTGCGAAACTTTGCTAAAACACATCAAGCAAGTGCACCAAGACAGTCATATTAATCATCCAACAACAAGAAGGTAAGCATGTCTGTCTTGCAGCTATAAATAACACCAATCTCTGAGAATGCCCAAAGAAAAAATGGACAAAATCAAACGGAATATTAACATAAAGATTGAGGGTCACCGTAAAACAAAGTTTTAGCAGTATTGTCCCCGTCATGCAATGAAAGGAACTCAACTGGAAGTTTGAATGATTGTATTCTAAAGATATTATAAGATGGATGGATGGTAGATGGATGGATACTTTATTCATCCCAAATGCGAAATTATTTTGTTACAGCACCAGTGGGTTCAGGCATTAAAATATTTGAAAGGTGGAATAAAAATGGAAATATTATTAAATACAAATGAAAATAAACATAAACCGCAAATACATCTACAGTAGAAAATACATGTATCACAAAGAATAAACAATATAACATGTTCTGGATAAGCTAGAAGGTTCTCTAAAAGACCAATAAACCAATTTACTACAGGATATTATATTAGAATAGTTTATTTTAAAGCTATTATAGAAGGAAAGGAGTCATACATATGTGTGTGAATATGTGCTCAGGTATTTCTGGCTCCACTGCTCTCTGGTCTCTCAGCTCCACTCTGGGTTTTTAATCAAATGTTTTCTGCTCACAGGGAGCCTTAAGCCTGACCTCTCCTGCGGCTGCTATATGAACACGAGACAAACAGCCTCTTTATTAAAAATGTTGCTGTTCATGGTAGATGGCCACAAGATAAAAATGACTATCCATGCATTTCACAAACTAGCCATACATTTTCTACACCTTGTAGAAAAGTTTGGGAGGATAGAGACATAATGTTCTAGAATAGGGAAAGTCAAAGTCAACTTTATTGTCAAACTTCGGTGTGTGAGATACAGACAGAGAGGTATACTGTAAATATACATACATACTCCTGTACACCCACTTTTTATATATATATATGTATATATACTCCTACATAATCAAACATAGACACATATATACACATTTCCACATTAAAATGCATCAATAAAAAATATAAAGCGCAACAGTCAATATATACAAAAATAACAGTCACTTATAAACGGATGGAGATTAAGAACATTGGTCTCCACCACCTGCTTCAAAGTGCATTAAAGGGGGGGGGGGGGGGGGGATCTGTGATTACCCGGGCTAATTTTATTTGAAAAAGTAGTTGTTCTTACTTTGGTAACTGCTAAAAGTTGTATGTTTATATTGATGTGTTTCTTTGTATGATGGTTACTACCAACTGTGAGCAGGCCTGTGGGCGTGGAGGTACAGCAGGTTGTCCAGTAATGACAGGGTTCATGGTTCCATTCCCTCAGAGGTGTATAGATGTTTCTTCTGAGTGAAAAAGATTGAACGCTATGCAAAGAGATCTACTTTGCTTTTGTGAGCAAATCCTCTGATTTCTGTGATTCATACAAGCAGCCAGAAAACAGAACAGCTGACTTGTGATAGGCTGATACTCCTGTTCATCCAAAAACAGCTTAGTGGATCAGTGTTTTTTTTAATGACCAACAACAGTTGTGTTGTGTTCTGGTAAAAACATGATCGATTTAGCTTATTCACAGAGGTAGGCAGGCACTTCTGAGACGTTTTGCAGTTAGAACCTAGTTGCCTTAATTATAACTGCTTATTGCGGGTAATATATCTATGATACTAAACTTTAAATAAAGCTCATTTTGTGTACGTGATACCTCAACTCATACTGGATTTGAGGCTTATACTGATGCTAATATTTGGAGGTAAGACATTTTCACATACTGTCAATAGTTTTATCAAGGTCACTGTAAATGAATGTGCTGTTTAGCATTTATTTAAGTTCAGTGTCTGTTACCTTTTATTATGATGAGTACATTATTATCATACCTTCAATGAATAAAACCTTTGTTGCCCCTAGTGGGATGGGTTTGCGCAGAGAGCACAGAAGAATATCACTACCATCCATGACAGCAAACACCCTGATATAATGATAAAACATCAACATCATACAAAAATCACAAGGAAATATGATTTGGTAAATAATTAAAAGAAATAAGTTGAAAACATGTCAGAACACTGCCCACTTTGAATAAGAATGCAAATGACATTAAAACTGACACAAGCTCATTGTCTTAAATTCAATGGCTTATGCTTCCTACCTTTAACTATTTTAAAATGGTAAAACTAAATGAATTAATCATTTACACAGAGAGATCCATTAATTCATCATAATAATAATAATAATAAATTCAATTTATAAAGCACCTTTCATTGCTAACAGCAATCCCAAGGTGCATATCATATAAGAATGATAATAAAATGTATTTATAAAATAGCTTCTCATAGTAATCAAAGACATTTATTGCATCAAATAACTCCCTTTAATATCTGCATCTCACAGCCAGGAGTAGGTGCACTTGGTTACTATCCCGGGGTGTGCTGGTGTTGATACAGCTGGGCGGAGTTTGCCATCAAATAAGTGTTGAATAAGCCCAGCGGTGTGGGCGGGATGTGCCGGGTTAGCAGAATAGTCCCGGAGACCCAGTGTTAGGATATTGGATATCTAGAGAGCTACTTTGACGTTTCGCTGGATTAAAAATAAGGCGGGATATTTCCCCGAGTCCTTGAAACGCCCAAGGTGCTGGAAGACCAAACAAGGAAAAGTTACGCTTGTTAAGAAATTGTTCTACAGCTTTCGTAGAGGTCTAAACCTAAACATACAGTTTATTTTTTTATCAATTTCCTTCTATTTGAGTCAATATTTCCCCCAAAGGATGAATGGTAGACAACACGTTCACTGTTTATGATCACTGGGGTTTCACAGACAAACAGCAATGTCATTAAAATGTTCATTTTCATTGTAGATGGCCACAAGATGGAAATAACTATTTATGCATTTCACAAAATAGTCATACATTTCCTACACATTATTGAAACGTTTGGGAGGTTAGGGACCAAGCAGTAAGGCAACAGGACAAAGGAGTGTTTTTAAAGAAACTGGGTCTTTTATCCAAAATTCCCCAAAAACATTACAAACCAAGAATCTCTAATAACTAGGCAGATAAAAGAGGTCAACAGAAAATACCTTAAATAAATATAACAGCAACAGTTGTTAACTCAATAAACCTACCTGGCACAATGACAAAACAAGGAACATAGTATTGTGGCTTGGCCCAACCAAATAGAAAATGGAAGTTAACAGAATACAGAAGAACACTGACAAAACCCAAATCCCCCCTTTGACATGGAAGCATATGGTTTCTCCCAATTTGGCTCAAGTGGCTGCTTCCAGTATTTATCCTCAGCCCTCGGCCACGCCTTTTGCTGAACCAGGAAGTAGCCTCCCCCAACGACCACGGAAACTCAATGACAAAGAAAGTCAGAAATACAAACAAATACTTGTGTTAGCTGTGATAGAATGTGTGAAAATAAACTAAGTAATGTCAGGTTACCAGCAAATGAAGAGTTTACAATTTAAATCAAATGTTTGGTGTTAATTGTTGGTTTAACTGCAACTGAAATGCAGCAAAACTACTGGAGGTGAGGGTGTAATGTATTTGTTTTAGGGTGTGCGGTTGTGACCATCCCAGGGCGGTTAGAGACATGATGTCAGAGGATAGTCAGTCAATAGATTCTGAATGACAGCGGATACAGACTGTAACTTGATGCAATAAAGATATGAGCGGTTGTTAATATGACAATAACATGTCATTAGAACCTCTGGTTGTTAATAAGGACATTACACATGGGGGAATTTCCATAGACTATTCACTTATTTCTAAAGTATTTAAATGACTACCAATTTATGCAGATAAACCCACTTAGTTACAGGCAAAGTCCCCTTTGCATGACTTTAAATCTGTCTTCTTCTCTCAGGTGAAAGCAGAGCCTCATGGCGGAGATCTCCAGACTCTCCAGGAGCTCCAGCAGGAGAACCTGTTGCAGACCCTTCCCTCAGGTCCGTCCCTCCCCAGGCCCAGACACCGCTGGTCCCCAGGTGTCCTCCCCCTGCCTGAACCCAAGGAGGACTCTGAGACCTTTGTCCTGGACCTGAGGAACTTCCCAGAGCTGGCCAACGCCGACATGAGCTCCCAGAACCCCAACATCCAGGTAGGGGTGCATGTGGAAAGAACTATAATGGTGTGGACAAATTGTTCCATTGGAAATTGGAAGTAGGGGGGGGGGGGATAACGGTTTCATGTTTCAGGGTCCACATGTGTCTTTTATCTTCAAGTGCAGTGTAATGTAATTCAGCTGGCTGTGGTATCTCGGATCAAAAATAATGATCAACAGTAAAACAACAGAAAAAAACCTCTTATTGCCATATACAGTACAGTTCACTCCCAACTCAGGCTTGGCCCTAATAACGCATCACATTACAGAAAATACTTACAAATAAATAGTGTTGGGGTAGTAACTCAAAAAAATTGTTACATTTGAATACCTTACTTACTTAGTTACACTACTAGTTACATTAATGGACTATTCTGTAACATCACCTGAGATCTATGCCTGAGATGCACCATTAATCAAATGACACATAACTAAATAAAGTTAAACCTAATGTATGCCCAGATCAGCATAAATCCTTAATCTAATCAGGACAGTACTGTACACATACCTCTGTTTCTGCTCTTTGAACATCAGCCATGTTTTCTTTAGCTCAGGTTCCATCATAACACTGGTCCAGGTAGCTAATAGCTATCCATGAAGTCGCGAGTTTAGCCGAGCGAAAAGGGAAGTTTTATTCGTTTTTCTGTCCCCCTGTGTTGCAGATAGTCGAAGACCTTAAAGAAACGCAAGTAATGAGATCATTTTGTGCTGAATAACTGTAATGTAATTACTGCTGTTATCAACAATAACGCGTTACGTGATTGCGTTACAGACAAAAGTAATCTGATTACAGTAATGCGTTATTTTATAGCCTTAACTGTAATCCAGAAGTAAAGTTACTAAGTACATTTACTCAAGTACTGTTCTTAAGTACAATTTTTTACTTGTACTTTACTTGAGTATTTTCTGCTACTTTGTACTTCTACTCCACTACAATTCAGAGGTAAATTATGTACTTATACTCCACTACATGTATTTAATACCTTTAGTTACTTCACAGATGTGGATGAATGATGTGAAATATAATCAAGTGTTAAATCAGACTTTAGTTCCACCTGGAGTAAATTCACAAGCTACCCTGCAGTATACAAAGCCATTCAAACTAGCTGCACCTTTACCAGCTTTGAGAACACTTTAATGATCAGTCATTATAAAACATATATATATATTATTCTGAAGTGAGCCAATCTGCACAATCACTACTTTTATTTTTGGTGTTTTAATTATATTTTTACGTTAGAACCTTTGTACTTTTACTTGAGTAACATTTTGATTGCAGGCCTTTTATTGTAACAGAGTATTCCTATACTCTGGTACTTCTACTTTTACTCAAATACAGGTTCTAAGTACGTCTTCCACCTCTGGTAATCAGATATGATATACATTTTAGGTCATATCGCCAACCCCAGATTGGAAATACATTCACGTCATTTTCCTCATGTCAAGAAGAGTTCATATTGGTAAGGTGCAGGTGTTTCAGATTAAATCATTGATCACAGGGGGTGGGGATGGAGCAGAGTCCTCCACCATCACTTTCCCCTCAGTTTTTGTTCTCAGCACCATGTATCTCCCTCTCGCTCTGTGAAAACCATCTCTGTGTACATCTGGTTTGAGTCAGGACAGAGTCTTGAGTTACCACATGCAGGACCTTTAACAGTAGGGTGCTCCAACTTGTCCATGAACACCAGACATCTACACTGGTGTTTGGAGGAATAAAAGAACAAAGGGGGAAAAGTGGAAATATAAAACATATGACAGCCGAATATAATAGTTCAAAAGGTCTTAAGTGTGACTCTGAAACCAAATCCTGGTGGAGTTGGCTTGACGAAAAATGGGTTTAGCACTTGTGGAGTTGATTTAGAGAAACAATGATGTGACTCTGGAATTCAGAGCCTGGTCAACATCCGGAATTCTTGGAAGAATTACATACCCTGCTATTTAACGTCCCAGAAAATGGCCCTCCGTCCTCTGACTTCCTACTTCTGGTAAACTCCTTTGCTATCTGAATGTCTCAATCTCCACCTTCCCATAAAGCTGGCAACCACCTCAACCTCAAATGTAACAGAAACTGCTCTACTTCAAAGCTCTCTGCAAACCTGCTTCTATTTCGTATATGGCTTCGCCCTCTAAGGCTATCGCTATTGGGTAATCCCCCTGCGCACCCGCGCAGCACTGAAACACTTGTAGTCCACGCCCGCCCGCAAGGTGGGCCCCACCCTCGGGCTCCCTTCCGGTATAAATAGGAAGGAGGCCCGACAATCTGCTCCCTCTTTTTCTTCAGCACCCCGTTACTGAAGCACAAGAGACACTTTCATTAACAGAGCAATCATGAGCAGCAATTGTGTGAGAGATTGTCCCTCATGTGGCTCTGGATACATTATGAGTTACGACCAGCACACGATGTGCGAATCCTGCCTGGGGCCAGAGCACGCATACGCGGCTCTCAGCCAGCAGGTCGCATGCACACACTGTGCCCGTCTCCCCTCGGACGACAGGAAGCGAAGAGCGGACGCTCTCGCTGCTGCGGCCGAGGAGGACGATTGGCCCGTCCAGGCTTTCGAGCCCGTGGACGGCGGCCTCATGTCCCTGGAGCCGAGTGCCGGGCAGGTGTCGGACGACTCCTACCCCGCCTCCCTCCACGGTTCACCGTACGGTTCTCCCCTCCCTCCTCTCCCCCGGACGGGGGAGACAGAGTCGGAGCAGGGTGCCGGCTTGGCGGCCGAGCACGCGGTCCCCTTCTCCGTCACCACGGCGCTGCCGGTGATAGGTGGCATCCTGGGGGAACTACCGGAGATCATATGCAAGGCGGCCGCCTGCAGAGGTCTCCCCGTTCCCCCAGCTCAGGAGAGGTGTGCTCCGGACGATATGGCCGGAGTTTTTTCGCGGGTGCAGACGGTCAGGAGTGACCCGGTCTGGCCACGCTTCCCCGCCATCAGGAGGTACCAGGAGGGGGGCAGCGGCGAACCCGAGGACCCTGAAGGCTCCGGTGGCCACATTTGTTCCCCTCACCAAGGTGGAGGGGTTCACAGATGCTGGTTTCCCAGCCACCCCTTCTTTGGAGCCGAGCCTGACGGCGTTTTTTGGGGTGAGACAGGCCAACATGATCGCCGGACGGCGCCCTACGTTGGCCTCCCCCAGGGACCAGTATGTCGCCCGCCAGGCCGACCGGGTGCACCAGTGTGCCTTTCAGGCGTCGGCGGCGGCGAACAACAACGCGCTGCTCTCAAACTCGGTGGTGACGCTGGTGGAGCGGTCCACCACCTTGGCCGCTGATGAAGCGGAGGAGATCGGCAAGGCGGCCAGCACGGCGCTCACACTGCGCGTCCGTCGCTGTCTCCCAGGCGAGGATCGCCGCGTGGGTGACGCAGATTCAGCGCCACCTCTGGCTGCAGCAGGCGTCATTTACGGAGACGGCCAGGAAGGTGCTTCTGGACGCTCCAATCAGCCCGGACGGGCTGTTCGGACCCCAGTTCCACGCCATGGTGGAGTCCATGAAGTCGGCTGCAGAACAGGCGGACGACATCCGCCAGCACGTCAGCTGGCTCCAGCCTGCTGGGCGGCCACAGCGGCATCAACGCCCGCAGCAGCCGCAGCAGCCGCAGCGTCCGACCCGGCCACAGCGACAGGCGGAGAGACGCCCACAGCCGCGGCGTCAGGGTCCTTCAGCGGATGCAGGGGCTCCGTCCCACGTCTCCGCTCCCCCGCCACCCCAGAGACAAAGGGGTCTTCCAGCGGTGGGTCAACGGGGAGTGAGGCACTCCCGCTCTTGGTCTGCTCCACCAGAGCCTCCGAGGAAGCAGAGACGTTTTTGACGTGTTGGGGTTGTGTGGAAAATAAAAGGAGAGTTCATTTTCCAACTTTTTGTCTGAGTCATCAGTATCAAGTGTTTTCTCACCCCCCACTCTGTGTAAGCCAGCTGCCTATAACCTATCGGTTAGTATACTGACCGATAGGTTATAGGCAGCAGGGCTCGTTGCAAAAGCCTGCAGTTTTTAATCTATCGGTTAATAAACTGCAGAGTTCGCTAATTAAGCCAGCTGCCACCAATCTGTTGATTAGTAGACAGCAGGGCTCGCTGCAGAAGCCTGCTGGTTTTAACCTATTGGTTAATGAACCGCAGAGCTCGCGGCATTCCTCTGTCCGAGATGCGTCTCCGACACACGTAATAAGCCCATGAGCGCAGTTATGACGCCTCATGTGGACGTCACGGCACACACCTCCACTCATCCCCTGAGCATGTACACGCCTCATGATGAGAGCCGGAGTGAAACGCAGCGTGTGGAGGCTCCCTCACAGCCCTTTGCTCCAGGCCCACCTTGGGTTGCCTCACGGGCTGCGGCGGCGAGGGCTCTGACGTGGCTCGTCGCCATGACGACCACAACACATCTCGAGCATGCGCGCCCGCTCTCAGAGTGTTTCTCAGAGTGGTAGCGCGTGTGTCTGATGGACAGATGGATGAGCAGGCTGATCAGCAGAGGGTACACCCTGCAGTTCGCCTCTCCCCCCCCCCCCCCCCACAGTTCAATGGGACACAGGAAACGCTCCTGTCATCCCAGGAACAGTCTTACGGGGAGTGGAAAAAGACTGGGGGAATGAGACCATCCTCGATCTGTCAGTATTTCACATGCTGACGATCAAACAGGTGCTGGAATGTGTTCACCAGGACGACTGGTTCACTTCCACCTGAAGGATGCATACTTCCATACCCATCATCCCGAAACACAGGAAATTCCTGCGTTTCTCTTTTCAGGGAATATCAGACCAGACAATCGTCTGCTGTTTGGATGTTCCCTGGCTCCTCGCATTTTGTGTAGAGAAGGCTGGAGCCACTACACAGAGGAGGGATGAGAATGAGGTTTTTCTCTGGACGACCTGCTATTTGCTGGCTCGCTCCAGCATGAGGAAGTCGCTTTACAGACGTTACATCTCGTATCGCATCTGTCAAAGCCTGGGTTTCATAATGAATTTGGAGAAGAGCTGCCCTCTCCCCTCTCAGA